TGGTCCAATATTTATATATCCATTTTATAACCCGTAAAAACAATGGTTTTCAAAATAAACTAATATGGCATATCATGCATATATGAATCTTTCCTCCTCCCCCTCCACCCATCGTCGTCTGGCTACGTGTCTGAGCTGGCAGAATTTTTTATAACTGCAAGATTTATTAATGAAAAAGCTGTTAATAAAAGTTCATCGAAACAGGCCTTCCGCACAAAAAAAATCATTAATAAAACATTTTAATTATACTGAGTCAAAATATGTATTGTGCTGCACTAACACAAGCTATTATTATTTCGAGCAATTTGGTGCACGCGCTGTCCACCGCGAGATCTTCGAAAATTGGATTTTTCGCGTTGATGCATTTCACACCAAGTTTTATTACATCACTTCAAATTAATTTTATGCATTGTCGAAAATTTGCATAAAATACAATGTGAGTATATACTTGTTATTTACCGGTTGGGAGGTTCGTACGGAAAAAATATTTTCACGAGGTTTCAAAAGCGTCCTTCGGCGTCGAGTGAAAATAGTTTTTTACAAAAATAAGGATGTATATTAATTTGTAAACCAGACAAAGGATCTGGGTTTGTGATTCTTTATAAAGTTCATTATAATGCTAAGATTATAAAAATTTTAAGTGATACGGATAAGTTCTGCTTAATAGGAAACATTGAAGCACATGATCGAAAAGCTTCGTATATGTACTAGCATGGTTTCGAGTGCAATTTGGGAAAAACATGCACTAGTGAGTTTTTCAAAGATTGTCAAAATAGCGCGAGTTCGAAGGACGAGTGCAATTTTAACTCTTTGAAAAACTCACGAGTGGATGTTTTCCAAATTGCACGAGAAACCATGCTATTACATATTAATAATATACGTGAAAAAATTTCTCAATTCTGTTGATTTTTAACTTCAGCGTACGTACAATTCAGCCGGCTAGTTATTAATATCGACCGGCTAGTATATTTCAATATTGTCGGATATTACTCTTCACAACACCATAGCTTCCACACACACCGTTTGAACAAGGTGTCTACTTTTACCAGTGTTCATATTTGTGTCCAGAAACATCTTTAAAACGGTGAACTTCAAACTTGTTCGCCAAAGAAAATCTACTTAAAACTTACGCCAGCCATTGTAATTGCTTTCTTTACATTAATGTAAGATTCCCGCCTTTGAAATGTTTTATTTTGATTGGCTCTTCTTTGTTTGACTAACCAATCAGGAGCAGTTTTAAAGAGAAATCAGCACTGGTGTTTTGCTTTTTTGCACTGGTGTTTCGCTTTTTTGCACTGGTGTTTCACTTTTTTTGCACCGGTGTTTCGCATTTTTTACTGGTATTTAGGAAAAATTGCACTACTTTTAACCAATCAGAATTGAGAAAATTTTCATGTGTATTATTAAATAGAAAAGAATTTACAAGCATTGCTGCGTGACTAGTAGTAGTTTCGTATATGTTTGTAAATGATGATCGTCCAGGTTAATAAAGTCCTGAGAAGGACTGTTTTTGATGTTGTTGACTGACGTTTCGACAACCTTAGCGGTAGTCATCTTCAGAGTCAAATGAGGAGTAAACGTCAGGTTAGCCGTATTTGTTGTCTGGTTCTTACGTCATTGTATTGTGTGTACAGGAAATGTGCAGGAAATCTGTATTGTCATTGTGGATTAGTGTGAAGTGAAATATTTTATTTTTAGTTGTGATGTGTGATTTAGGTGTGACGTTTTTAGTTGTAGTGTGTTGGTGTCAATTGTGTATTGTCATTGTGAATTAATTTGAAGTGTAATGTTTTAGTTGATCGTTTGTTTGTATTGTGAATAAGTCGTTTGTAGGTGCCGGTAATTGCTGTGATCTGTTCAGGGGTGTGTTCCAAGTTGGTATACCAACTTTCTAATGTAAGCCGTTGTCTATAGTCAGTACTGTAAGTGATGCATTTTGCCGAGTCCCAGTCAATGTTGTGCTTTGTGATTCGGTGATGTTCGGCAATGTGATTAGTTTGTCTTGTTTCTTAGTAGCTCGTTTGTGCTCAGTAAGTCTTATGTTTAAGTTCCTGCCAGTTTCCTCCTATATGAACAAACATAAGACACCAAAAAACAAAACAATTTGACTCGGCAAATGCATCACAGTACTGACTATAGACAACGACTTAGAAAGTTATACCAACACACCTGAACAGAATTACCGGCACCTTACAAACGACTTATTCAATACAAACAAACGATCAACTAAAACATTACTTCAAATTAACAATGACAATACACAATTGACACCAACACACTACAAAAACGTCACACCTAAATCACACATCACAACAAAATAAAATATTTTTCACACTAATCCACAATGAATACAATGACGTTGACAACAAATCTGACGTTTACTCATTTGACTCTGAAGATGACTACCAACGTCATCAAAATCTCCTTCTCAGGACTTTATTAACCTGGACGATCATCATTTACAAACATATAACGATACTCCCGGGTTCGAACCATTTACTTTAGTAGTTTCGTATGATAGTCACACCTCCATGTGCGCCTCATCAAGCCAGCTTGTGTCCCATCAAGCCAGCAGAGTTTGGAGGTGTGGTTCCGAGAGTTCGACATCGAAGTTCGGAGACCGGGTTTGGATCATTCTTAGTTTTCCTTCAGTGAAGTACTTAAGCCCTTGCACGACTACAACGTGATGATCCAGGCGCAGGGGGCTGCATGACTTAAAAGCATAAAACCAAATCACCCTAGAATTTTACAAAAATATCTGTCCAATTGGATCAGAACGACCAAGAATTTACGGACTGCCAAAAACACACAAGCAGGACACACCGCTGCGTCCTATTCTCTTAATGATAAACTTTGCACAAAATAAGTTGGCTAAAGAGCTATAATATTACTTGAACCGGTTCTTAGTAAGTTTTCATCATAAGTTCTTAACATTCCTTTTCATTTGTTGATAACTGCGAATTTTAAGTTTTAATAAAGTAAATGGTTTGAACCCGGGAGTATCGTTACATGTTTGTAGAGTGGCGGAACATGGTCATATTTCCTGGTGCCCGTAACGATTTTACAGGCAAAGTTCTGCAACAGTTGAAGTTTTGTTATATTTTTGTTGGTGATATTCGACCACACGGTCGAGCAATAAAACATTTTGCTGAAACTAAGGCAGACATGATTCTAAGGAGTGTGGTTTGGTCAAAACTTTGTCTTACACGGTTTATTTGCATTAACTTGGACAGACATGAAGACGCTAGCTGGAGATATGATCATCATACGATAGATGAGAATCCAACGTCAAACCTAAGTCTTTGGCTGAGCTCACGGGAGTTAAGGTTTTACCCAGGAAGGACAGGGATGGTTGTGCTGGTAGTCTGTTCATAAGTTGTCGCGTGCCGAGCAAGAGAAATTTTTTTTTCTGGATTGATAAGAAGGTGGTTTTCACAGCACCAAACTGCGACTCTATGGAGATCTTCCTCTATTTCCAGCATTGCTGTTTCGGACTCTGGAATGTGGAAAGATCTGAAGATTTTCGAGTGGTCTACGTAGGATTCGATTTCGCAGGTTAAAGACGTGTTTGGCATGTCGTTAGTATAGATGCAAAACAGTAATGGTGAAAGGATGGCTCCTTGGGGGACTCCGTGACTGATGGTTAGCGGGTCAGACAAAGTAGAACCAATGCGAAGGGTTTGGGTGCGGTGTGACAGATAGCTCTCAAACCACTTAACGGTGGCAGGTGATGCGCCAACGGATATTAATTTCTTTAATAATCGTTGGTGGTTTATACTATCAAATGCTTTTGAGAGATCTAACAAAATCAGAACAGTAATCTTTTTGTTGTCCATAGCTTCCAGTATATTATCTGTAATGTAGATGTTAAGAGTTTCGGTGGAATGTAATTTCTTGTTTCCATTCTGATGGTGGGTTAAGCGGTTGTGGTCTGAAAGGTAACCAGAGAGTTTATTTAAAACGATCCGTTCGCACACCTTTGATGCAACTGGGAGACACCGACACCTAAAGATGCCATGCCTGCTTTCTCCACAAGTTCTGTTATTTATGAATTCAAATGCACCAGGGCGATGCTCGTTACGTTGGTAGGACATCCCAACGGTGGGTGATAAAATTAAACAACATGTTCCTAACACTATTCTCAATAAGACTTATCTTTGATGTTAGAAAGTTTTTATTAGCATATTATAAAGCTGAAAGATGTCAATTTGTGTTTACAAATGCGCTATGAACAATAAGTTAGACGATTAAAAAGACATCAAAACGATATCATTTGATATACTTGTCCCAAAGAATACAAAAGACTGTTTAAATTTTCAGCATAATATGCCGAACAATTCGAAATATAGCTTCCAGTTTGGCCAGTGGCAGCAATTTTGGGTTTAGACCCTCAAAACATTTTGCCCACACATTTGAGACTGGCATTGGAGCTAAATTTGTTAATTAACCTTGTAAGAAGACAATAGTACGGAAAAATAAACCTTCCCTGTGAACGTCCATGAAACCATTGTAAATGACCCCACTAACTATGTGACATAAGTCTCATTCAACACAATTTAACAACTAGCACCGACTAATGTAGCTGCTTTCCTCCTGCAATTTTTTTTTGTTACGCCCTGTGTTGTAATGAACTTTTGCAACTTTTTAATGCTCTTATATTAAATCTAGCAACATTTTTCATTCCTTTTATAGCCTGTTTCGATGTGCGAATATTCAGGGTTAACGCTTGAACGCTAATTGGGTGGCGGAGTATATTCATATATTTAGTTGTGTCCGACTGATTTATTGAAAAAGCACTTCACTTTCAAAAGAAATCAGTCTTGCACCATTGAATATACGTATAAAAATACACCACCGCCACTCCCAAGTAGCGTTCTCGCGCCTGAGTATATTATACAATTGAACTAATACCATGTAAAACCCTTTTAGTTTCTATCTTAATGACATGAACAGTTTCGATATCTATTTCTATTAATTTCTTGTTTCTGATTATCTTTCAGGCGAAATACTTGACTCGTAACACAAAAGCTGATAGTGTTGAAGCCATGATGCATTTGGACGAATGTTTATCACAGTTGGCGGTAAATAAAATTTGCTGTGCTTTGTTATTTTTGTATGGAGTGTTGAGTTTTAAAGAGTCATTTATAAGCGCTGCATTCAACTTGTGGCAGCGTGCGTCCATAATTTTATATTACGAATTTTAGTCCCCATTTCCTATTACAAAAACTTGAAAATTACATTATTTGAAGAACTGTATGACATGTCGATGAACTTACACAACCAAATAAAGGCTCGTTAATTTTGCCTCCGAAGCTGGTTACTATTTGCGTACTTTGTACGACTTCATTTTGAAACTTTGGACATAGATAGTTGAACACGTCTGTTTCTGATTATAGGTTATTTTGTGGTCGTTTTTTTAAACAAATAAGTACATTATTTTTTATTAAATATCGCAAACAGTACTCAGATAATTTGCATTTGATATTTTAAAAACTAGTTTCTACGACGAATTTTAGCCCCCCTTTTTTATTAGTTGCATTGAAAGTTTGGACTATTTGAAGGACTATAACATGTCGATGGACTTAAACTGATAAAAATAATTTCATTAATTTTGCCTCTGAATTTGGGCACTATTTGCGAACTTTTAACGACGCCATATTGACACTTGTGGCTTAGATATTAGAACACGTCTTTTTCCGTCAATATAGTATTATATTATCGTAGGTGATGTAATGGTTAATTTTCTTGTTTTACAAACAAATAAGTACACAAATTTCGATAAAATACAACAAAACTAACAAGAAAAATTATTCTGAAGACTTATGGCTTCAAATCATTTCTCAGACAATTCGCAATTGATGTCTGAATCTGTTTCTGATTCGAGCTCGGAATCCGTGGGTTATCTCGAGCAATCAAATACCTTGGCGTACGTTCGCAGAAGCTGGTGATGAAGTACGCACTCCAGACGATCCTTATAAAATCAACATTAGAGGAATGAAGTGACGGTATAATTCCACTCAATGAATGGTGAGTTATTGTGTTCCACACATGCTCCATTACTTCCTGTTTTCTCCTATTCATAATATACCTAAAGTCAATTTATAACTCACAATGGTCCCACGTTTTAGGTGTAATTGTCAATGCTTTTATACCAAATTGTTAGAAGGAGCATTAGAGTACAAGTGTTGTAAGGAAATAGGGCCTGCTTTACAAAAAATGACTTTCAATGGCTGCATTGAGAAAATATCGTGCGTAACACAACATGCGAAATTTGAGCCTTTACTCCATGAGATTGTTCTTGAAAACGCTGGGTCATTGTTGAGAGACAGAAATGGACGTGCTTATCGTTCTAAGCATCATAACCATTGATTTCTATTAAACTATTTGGATATACAAGGGGGCCTGGGAACTGTTGTCAAAAACATGGATGCCAAAACGAAATTTTGGGTGAAAAACTTCCACTTGAAAAATTATTTTTATTATTCGCTCCCTCCTGAATCTTTGAATGCTGTTTCAATACAAAATACGACTAGGAAAAAATAACTTACAGAACCTAAATAATGAAGATATGCTCTAGCGTTTATATAATGCACTCATTAATACGAAGATTATCTACGGTAAAAAATTTTTGTTATGGTTAAATGACAATTTAACTCAAAAATAACACTAGACGGCATTTTACCGTGTTGTTAGTGTTGCGCAAAAGCACTCGACCTATCCGCTTCATCGCAGCCAAACGCAAACTAAGCAAGTCATCTGTAAACTCTCACGGAATGACACGGTGTTCCCACACAGTTTAATGCAACTATCTTGATCGATTAAGTCGGAAAAAATTGTGGTTTAACCCTACAGCTACAGCATGTAAACTGCTAGATATATCTTGATGAAGTTTGTTGTCATTAAATTTTGAGTCAACTTTGCTTGCAAGTGCTGGCCAATTGCTAGGATACTGGCTGGTGTACGGTAGCCGAAGCCAGAATGATACTTTGGCAGCTATTACAATAGTATGGAGAAATGTTCACCTCAACTCAGGACCAAATGCTGAGCAATACTGCATTTTTTGTGAGAAATTATCACTTTTGAAATTGTAGCATATTACCTTCTTTGACATAACATTATTTCTTGCTGCATAAGAGCAAAATTGTTTAGATTATATACTTTCAATGAAGATATTTCCCAAGTTTTATGAATATAATTGTGCATTACGTGTAATGTTTTGGCATTTTGTAACATGTTAAGAATCAAGTTTGGACAAAAAATTTGTTCAAATGACTTAAAATCAACAAAGAGACTTTGCCAGGGCTATTTGTACAGGTTCATCTTTACACAATGCAATTTAAAATTATTTATGGTTTTCCATTTAATTTGTTTAATCATTTTATTTATTTCCACTTAATCTTTATCAGATATATGCAAGTTTTTTCCATCTATTTTTGCTTCTTCTTCCTTCAACTTCATTGCAAACATGCATCAATGCAAGTCTTGGATTACCTGTAATCATACCAAGAGTGAATGTTTGTCAGATGAGGCATTGCTATACTTAACTTTTCATGCACAGAGTAATAAGCTTTTCTTCAATAAAAATTTTAAGGTAGAAGCAAATGCTGGCTTAGTATTGTCCAAAGCAGTTTTTTACTTTGGTTTTGATTTATGAACATTTTTTACTATTACAATGCATACTTTATTTACAGAAACAGCAAGAATTATTAACGAACTAGCAGCATCGAGCAAACCTTTACCCATATTAAATATCATTCCTGCTTGCAATCTGTCGATTTGTGCAAAACAAGCTGGGGGTTGATTTCAATATATTTTTGTGGTACTATATGTACCACAGTGTTTTGAGTTCAACGTTCTTTTGAGTTTGACTTGCACGCTGAAATTAAGGTCAAAACAAGAATCCTCAATAATGTGCAGAACATAGAAACGAGGTAGAGGAAGCCTCAAAGCGTTCTCGATGTTTTTGCACAAACTTTACCCATTTTCTTCGTTTTTGCGGCTCTGTTTCTTTGTTTGGAAACAGATGAATTGATTTTCTTCGGTTTTCGAACCATTGGCACAACTGACTTGATTAGGTCCGCCAGCAACACAGCGTTTTACTCCGCGTTTCTTATGAAGATTACTAGTAGTATACGCCATGTTGATATATGTGTTCAACTATCTACGTCAAAATTTCACTAACATACCGATGAAAAAGTTCGTAAGCAAATTGCTGAAAATCGTGACTTTGAACGTTCATAAAATCACTTTAACAAATCCAACTTAAATTATAACTGCAGCTGCAGGAATGCGATCACTGAAACACCGTTTTTCAATTTAGCTAATAAAAAGGGAGGATAAAATTCGTCGCATAAACACTTTAAATGCATTTCTGATATGTGATCCGAATCTGCGGGTTATCTTATTGAGTTCTACGTATGATGACTGAAGCGGCTATCTCAATCACGGCTTTAATTGTCGGCGGACGCCAAAAAAAGTCTCGGAATCGGTCTTGATTTAAGAATTTATTTTATGTATATCATTAACATAAAAATAGATTCCTTATTTTATTGATTGCTCTAATTTGAATTTAGAACTAAACATGGGCCATGACAGTCCTCTTATGATACAATTTGTAGGTAAATGAACCACTCACAGATGGCTTTATATTTATTATGGTTTCACGCAGATTTGAAGGAATTGACATATATACACCATTTCTGTTAAATCTGCGTGCTTTTACATGCAGCAAATATAGTTTTGATGTTTGCAGTCACTCTGCGAAAAATAAATTTGTCACAAAGTATGGAGATGCTATTTGAAATGCTATTTTGAACAAATCCTGCCTTAAATTTTCAACTTTCGCGTAAATTCAATTCAAAATAGGAGTGTTAAGCTTAATGCAAGATAAGCATAATCTCGATTGAATTATCTGCTTTGATGCGATGGAGTATAAAAAATAAGACAGAACAAGCATCACTGAAAATTAAAAAACATTGTTAAAACCTTGGGAAAATGCATTTAGTAACTTTATAAGAATTGTTAAACAAAATACTGGACACTTTCAATAATATGCAATAGTATTTTCCTTACTGGTGTCGTGAAATGTTTCCTTTCCTGCTTTATTTCGACATCCACATACCATCCAGATTTGCAGCATGTTTTACTAATGAAATTTGGGAAAAGAGTTTATGTTTAGAATAATAGTTGAGTGTCTCTATACATCTATAATCGCATACGGACCATACAGATGGTTGTCTAATTCCGGGTGGGCGAAAAAGTTTTCATTTTTGCGAGATCTTGTCTTTCTGCTAACCTTAACAACGAAATCCGGATTTATAGCAATTTGGCTTATAACCATTGTAGTTTTGATTTTGAAAAAAGGAAGTAAGATTTTGTCGATTTTTCGATATGGTTCTGTTGAACTAAAAATTTTACGAAACTATTTGCTTTTTCTTTATTTTTATAGTCTTCTTCACCAGTCGATATTATGCCTGGAGAGAACGATCCCTGCAATTACCAGTGGCCACAACAACCTTTACATTCTTGTATGTTTCCTAGAGCATCGGCTTTCTCAACTTTCAATAATGTTACCAATCCTTACGAAGCTTCGGTAGCTGGAGTGAGGTGCGTATGTTAGATTTAAGAAATATGAAACATTTTCCATTTTTCTAAGCTTTCAGCTTTAAAGAACTTATGTTATTCTTTCGTTATATTATTCTAGCACACACGTGAGTATTTTCGCATGTCACGTGGTACGAACTGTAAACATTGCGTACATTGACAGAGCTCTACTATATATTATACGGCGTGGACTGTTTTAAATTGAATAATTTCGATTATTTATGTGTTCTTTTGGCAGTTTTATGATACATCCTTTTAAGTCGGTTATAAATAACAGAGAGTTTGTAAGTGATATAAATAGTTCCTGTGAATGATCTTGAAGTGACATGAAAGCACTGCGTTAGCTGTGTGACGGCGTAGCTAGTCTACAAAGTGCAATCAGATGAAAACTTTGAATTGATTGAAACTGCAAAGTTTGACTTTTATCACGCCCGAAACTACAAAACTGCTTGGAGAAGTAGCTCTATCTCAGAGTCTGTCCACGGCTTGCACGTTTTGTGTCCTGGCGACATGTTTTGTAATTTTGGCGCAAGAGACGAACCCAAAATATCCGTTACCCAAAAATCAGATGCATTGTAAAAAGATAAGTGACCATGTAGCGTGAACGCATAAGTATTTATTTTTTATCAGATAGGAAAACAATCCGATATAGTGTAATCAGGGTCTGATTTGTGTAGACCACCGGTGGTAAAAAAGCAATGTGCTTGAGGTACTTATAAAGGCAATTCTTGGCAAGAATTTCTTGCTGTCCAAACTTTAAGAAATAGTATGAAAATAGTGATTAATTATATTTGTATTTGTTCCCAACGCCAAAGAGCTCGCTAAAAACAATGTTTAAAATGTATGCATTCCAAATGCAAATGGGAATTGTAGCTGTCTTTTCAGCATATGAAGTCATCTTCACGATGACACGCAAATATTTGATCCAACGCAAACATTTTTCTTGCGAGTGCTTTGGCGCTGAGAACTTATGATTCTTTTTCATCAAGTTGGGATAGTGAGAATCGTTACAAGCACAACAAGCACATCACGTTTTTGTCATCGTTTTGCCACACTACTGATTTGGTATTCATATTTTTTACCGTCCATTATAATTGACTATTGGAGCTACACATATTACTAACATAACCGCTAATATTTATAAAAGAGTTAAAAATTTATAGCTCTATAAATTTTAATATATAAATTTATCTTTTTTTTCCAAAATTAGATTCTAAAAATTTTCTAGCATGTTGAAAAAATTCGCTCTATTAGCCTTAGGTTCAGTCCATATGCTTCTCTAGACTTAATATCTTTCATGGAAACAGTTTACAACACTTTAGAATCTTTATATGTTTGTTTGTAAATGATGATCGTCCAGGTTAATAAAGTCCTGAGAAGACTTTTGACTCTGAAGATGACTACCGCTAAGGTTGTCGAAACGTCAGTCAACAACAACAAAAACAGTCCTTCTCAGGACTTTATTAACCTGGACGATCATCATTTACAAACATATAACGATACTCCCGGGTTCAAACCATTTACTTTACTTTAGAATCTTATAGTTCAAGTTTCTTTTCATGGTAACAATATGTTGACCTTATTTTTTTGCAAATTTTTTCAAACCTGTTTTGCTTGGACAATATTTGCCATATTTATCCCAATTGCATTGTATTTGTGTCATTTTTTTGCTATGTTGATTTGCTTCTCCGATTCGCTATGTTGATTTGCTATGTTGATTTCGTTATGTTGATTTGCTTCTCCGAAAGAAAATTTCCTTGCCAACTTAAAAATTATTGTTATATTGTGACAAAGTTACTGCCAGAGGAAGCATTGGAAATCGAACTGTCTAATTTCCACTAAAGGCTTATTCAAACCTTTTGCGCTTAGCAATCTAGCGGCATATTTCTAATTGTGAAGTATAAACTCTCTTTGAAGGCTCTCTAACTACATTTTACTTTCTCTGTTCCAGAATTCTCTGCACTGATGGTCGGAATGTTAATGATATATTCCGATTTTCTGATCATGCTAAAAGAATTGACATTGCCAAGTTAACTCTGGATGGCGCTCATATTGCTCCTTCCGCCCCAGACACTCTCGGTAAGTCGAAATGATCATGCATTGCAGCCTCTCGCTGACAATGTTTCTCACACCAACGTCAACCAGTATCTTAGTTTTTTATATTTATGTCAAATTTTGGCAAATGTCACTTATGCTTGAATTATTAATGTTAACCTGATCTCTCAGTCAACGTTTAAGTTGTCTTGACTTTACTCAACAACTCTCTTTACGGCGTCTTTTCCTTTGAATGTTTCTGTAACTACTGCTAATGCCCAAATCTCGCAATTTTTTATCCGTTTCAACGATCAGTACGTCACTGGGCGAAATTCTATAAATTTTGCTTTCCAAAATCATAAGATGGCGCTCTGTCATATCTGTAGTTTTATCTCGTCGTCACGTTATTCACTTACTAACTTCATTACTCAGTCACGATTTGTTACCGTCTTCTCGGTAAATGTCGTAGCCCCGATTGTTTGGAATGAATGCTGTTCCTTTTTGCTCTGGATTGTGAGTTTTCTTCTTTACATCACGTTTGCATTTATGATGCAGATTTTAGTCTATTAAAATGAGCCATTATCTGACCTCTTCTTTCTTTTTGAATACGCAATTATACAACTACACTTTACCAACTCTTTACGGTGCCCGTGAATATTTACTTTAATAATATTCCTTGTAATGTTTTCTTGCCTGTTGCTGTTTGTTTAGTGTCAATTTATACACTTTCATATAACTCCCTTATTTTATAAATATACTTGTTATGTGCAATTATTACTAGTTGCATGCACTTGTTTTTTGTTGGGTTTTTTTTGTCACATTGTTCCTTTTAACAAGGAACACCAAACTAAAGTCTCAGAATGGGCTCTATTGCTTTGCCAGCTTACGGGTGTCTGCAAAGCCTGTGTCTGCTTTTAAAGTACGCTCGCTCAAAACGTCTTCGAAAGACTTTTTGTTTTATCTGGGAATAATCCTGTTCTTTTTTTATTTTCCTGATTTGCTTCATCTTTATTAACGTATTGTTAATGTGGCTCCTGGATACTAAAATATCTTTGAAAAGCAAACGTAATTTTATTCTGTCAGTTCTATCTGTAAATGCATGCAATTGAAATTTTAACATAAATCGTGGCAGTGCTACATATGAATAATTGTTGCTTAAACAAAGCAGAATTTTCTGCTAAGGGCGAACTTAGGGAACTTTAAGAATCCTGTATTTACTTCTACCTCACTTGACTAGAAATAGGTTAAGTGTGTGCTGGGCAAAACAGGTGTCGTACACTTGCATGAATTAGCTATTAGTGCTCAGCAATTTTTCAAGATTAGAAATTGGGAAGCCAAAATGCAATATAATATGGAATGTTGGAACCTACGTCGCCAAAGTGATTCAAAAAGCACAGCAAAAGGCGTTGTTCGTGAACTTAAATCTAAAGGCTAGATGAGTTTACAATTTTTTCTCTATATTCTTGTCATTAAAAAGTAATGATTTAATAATAGCCCACTCGTCGCCCATAATAAATATCCACAATAGCTATCCTGTAGTGCTGAATTACTGTATTATTAAGGTTATCGAAATTTTGGCAACAATTCACAAACGTTTTTCAAAGTTTACAATCACGTTTCATCAGAATGATTACGAACTACGATAATATCTCGAGACAAAGTATATTCTGCAATGCAGGCTGCAACCGCAGTACCGATGAACTCCCCAGCTTGAGTCCAAGCGAGGGTTATATTAATCCGAAAAAAGCGTATGAGTATGTAGCCCAAGTTCGACTACTCAGGTAGGATGACAAATAATTATATTTGATGAGTAGAGGTTCCAGAGTTTCGTTTGTCTAATTTTTGATATGTTGCTGCGTTTCATAAATATATGAGCTAAGAAATATTTAATACGCGACGTTCGAATAGTCGGAGTAAACAAAATGTCGTCCGAATTACAATTTGCCTAACCTTTTGATGATAATAAAGATAAATTCTTTAATTAAATATCTAGTCTTAATATAGATCAGTGAAGCATATAGAGAAGTATGATACAAATAATACAGAGAAGCATTGACTATGTTTACGGTGGCCCATAGGTGTCACGGCACAAACAAAACTTCTCGCGGCACAAGCAAAATCTCACGCCACAAGAGCAGTATTCAAAGAGACTGGGGCTGATAAACATAAATAAAATATGGCGGAAAACGAAGGCGAAAGTTCTTTTGACGGCGGCAAAAATATCACTCTCAAAAAGGCTATTTCAAGTACGTGCGAATGTTTTCACGACCTCAAACATGGATGACTTAGATGCTGAGGAAAATAAAGAGTTTGACGATGAAGATATAATACGATACTATTTTTATTGAGATTTTACTTATTAAGAAATAAGAAGATTTTTACAGAAATACCACGACATAGAATTAAGCATTAGCATTTTAAAGAGAAGAATAAAGAAATATGGTCTAGGAAGAAGGCAAGTTGAATGCGACGTCACTACTGTAAGAGAGTCAATACAAAATATTGTTGATGGTCATGGCAGTCTTCAGGGTTATAGGATAGTTTGGCACACTCTACGACTTAATGGCATACAAGTACCTAGAGTAGCTGTTCAGGAGATTTTGCGTGAAATATGTCCTGAAGGAACTGAACAAAGACGAGCACATCGCTTGAAAAGAAGGGAATACCGAAATCCAGGCCCAAATTATGCTTGGCATTGTGACGGCTATGATAAAATGAAGCCTTTCGGATTTCCAATACATGGTTGCATTGACGGGTGGAGTAGAAAGATACTCTGGCTAAAAGGAACTAGATCCAACAGCCACCCAGGTGATATAGCCAGTTTTTACTTAGATGCTGTTGAACATTTTGGTGGATGTCCTGTTGATCTGGTAACAGATTTAGGCACTGAAAATGGAATAATGGCAGCCATTCAATCATTTTTCCGGGATGATGCTAACAGCCATCGTTATGTCCCGTCTCCTAGAAATAAAAGAATCGAGTCGTGGTGGGGACTATTCAGAACGTCGTGCTCATCTTGGTGGATAAACTATTTTAAAGATCTAGTGGCTCAAAGGGTAGTTGATCTCTCATCAGAGTTAGATATGGAATGTCTTTAGTTGTGCTTTTCGGATGTGATGCAAAAGGTTTTAGATAAAGGAAAGAGCAATGGAACACCCATTATATCAGAAAATCACGTCATGATACTGTAAAAGGCAGACCTGACTCATTGTATTATTTACCTGAGCAATGTGATGGTGTCAATCACTTTTTACTGTCGGTTACTTTTACCGAAACTCATTATGCTCGATCACACATAGTGGAAAGTGAAAAAGAAAACATATTCTAAGAATATTTCAACTACGTGTTACAATCTTGTGATCTCGACAAGCCAAGACATTGGAAACAGGCAACTGAGCTTTACAATACTCTTCAGTACTATGCAAAATAAATATACATGCCGACATTCAATTTCAACAGACTGCATGTAGCTATAGACAGGGACGAAGCTAGAATGTTCGGTGGAGTGGGGTGGGGTGAATATTCAAATATTCAACTCTGCCCCCTGCTGATTTGTTTTGAAATTATAATCACTAACAAAGCAAATCAGCAAAGCAGAGCTAAATATATCAATATTCACCCCCTTCCCACTTAACGTTCTACTTTAGCCACTGGCCATAAGACAAATTAATCTAATATATTTTGTTTATACAAAAAATGTAGGTAGTATCTTCTGTAGGTAGCAATCACATTTATCTGCTAACATAAAAATTAACAAAGTGTATAGTAAATGTTTCCTCACTAACAAGCGTTTAGTAAGTACATAATTTTGAAAGAAGTAAAATCAAAAGGTGTCGTTGGGGTGAATCAAACAAAAAAGTAACCATTCCATAATAATCAATTACTGATAAGGTGTTACTGATTTAGAATGACAAGTTTCATCTTTTCCCAAAACTCTGACCCTTACAGTAGGCAATCATGAAAACGTGCTTGAAATCTTCACTTGTTTTCATATGCTCAACTGGTAATGTAATGTCTCTGCCACATGATCCTACATGATTGAGAAACAGATTTTATGCATGGTATTACGTGACATACAACCATGATCAAAATGAACTCCGATTCTTAACTTTTCTCCATTAATAGGTGCATGTTTTTGTCCGGTGAGCCACCCCAAAACTCCTGATGGTGTTAGATGTGCAGACGGGAAGTCATCCTTTCCATGTTGTCTTGCATGTTACCAAGACTATCTTCATCACTCCATGTCAGATCTTCTACATAGCCTGTTACATTCTGGTCTTCCATACTCATTCGCACATCTTGAAAGAAGTCAATCATTTCCTCTTCAATCACACGCCGCGAGCTTCCTTTTAATTTTTGTGGAAATATTTCATTAATCAATCATTGCGATAAAGCCGCCCGCATGGCTCCCAATCTGTCGTTCAAAACTTTCATGCTGACTACGCCACTGTTGACATATTTTTAAATTATTTTGTTTGAAAATTAGATATAACTTACCTATTCCATACTGTGTACAAAATTTGGCATTGCTTTTGTGCTCTGTGCCACACATACAACAAAATCTCGCACTTTCAAAAGAACTTTCGCCTTCGTTTTCCGCCATATTTTATTTATGTTTATCAGTCCCAGTCTCTTCGAATACTGCTCTTGTGCCGTGTGATTTTGGTTATGCCGTGAAATTTTGTTTTTGCCGTGACACCTATGGGCCACCGTATATGTTGTCAAAAACATGGATGCCGCCATTCCTTAAATGGCAAATTTTTGGACGAAAATGTCAGCGGAGTTGCGCACGCTCATGCTAAGGAAACTTTTTCTCCCTCCTGATTTCAATCAACACTTAAGTATTCATGCGACAATAAAAATATAAGTATTTGATACTCCAAACGCAAATTCTACAATTTCAACAACAAAACAAGCTGGAAACGTGTGTGATAAACGGTTGCCGAAGAATTAGAAGAAAAGGAAACATTTCAATGGTTTTATGAGACCGCCGGTAAGCAAGATAATTGTTTTCATCGTTGTTCAGTCTTCAATATTTATTATTTTGTTTTACTATATTTGCAGTGTGTTGGCATTTATTTCCTTAAAGTTTTTTACCACTACGTCATGCTTTTGTTGATGTTGCTTTTGGCCCAATCATTTTGTTACGTAAATGCATGTGAGACGCTGTGCAAATTTTCGTGATGTGCTTATCTTGCATCAAACAAATCAACAAAATCCTCCTCTTATGTATTGAGTTTAGGCTGTTTTGTCCCAGGAAATGGATTAGGATTTGTTCATATTATATTTCAGAAAATATGATGTGAAATTAAGAATAGAGTTGTGTTGAAATTGAACTTGCCTACAATATTCAGTAACAATGTGGTTTATATAGTACAACAAAAATATTTTGAAATCAACCCCTAGCTTGTTTTTCAAAAATTGACAGATTACAAACAAAGATATTTGATATGGGTAAAGGTTTGCTCGATGCTGCTAGTTTGTTAATGACCCTTGATGTTTGTTAATAACCCTTGACCCTCTAAATAAAATATGCATTGTAATATTAAACACGTTCATAGATCCAAACCAAAGTAAAGAACTGCTTTAGAAAATACTGGGCCATCATTTGCTTCTACCTTATAATTTTTATTCAAGGAAAGCTTATTACTTTACTGCTTTGTGCATGAAAAGTTTAGTATCGCAATGCCTAATCTGACAACCATCTACCCTTTGTATAATTCCAGGTGATCCAGGATTCACATCGAATGCATTGAAGTTGAAGGCAGAAGAAGGATAAATAAAAGGAAAAAACTTGCATATTTGATGAAGATGAAGTGAAAATAAATAAAATGAATAAATAAATTAAATGTGAAATCATTAATAATTTTAAATTGCGAAGTGTCAAGGTGAACCTGTACAAACAAATAGCCCGGGAAAAGTCTCTTTGTTGATTCTTTGTGGATTCCAAACTTTATTCTTAACATGTTACAAAATGCTAAAACATCACACCTAATGCACAATTATACTTATGAAAATTGTTAAATTTCTTTATTGAAACTTTACTATTTAAACAATTTTGCTTTCATGCAGCAAGAAACAATGTTATGTCAAAGAAGCCAATATGCTACAACTTTAAAAGTGATAAGTTCTTATGAAAAAAAATTCAGTCCCGTTCAGCAATTGGTACTGAGTTGGGGGTGAATATTTCTCCATCCTAATGTAATAACTCGCCAAAATATCAATCTGTTATCATACACCAGCCAGAATCCTAGCAACAGTATGAAAGTAAACTCAAAATTTATTGGCAACAAATTTAGTCAAGGTAAATATAGAAGTTGCGAGTTGACATGCTGTAGCTGTAGGGTTAAACCTAAATTTTCTCATGCCCTCTCGACTTAATCAATTAAGATAGTTGCATTAAACGCTTGCGAACAGTTACGTTTTCCGTGAGAGCTTATAGATGACCTGCCTGGTTTGTTTAGGTTTCGCTGCCATGAGAAGATTCGGTCTAGTGCTTTTGGGAATCTTTTATGATTTAGGTTTCGGTGGTTGTTTTCACTCATTGTGATAGTATGAATTGAGCTGCATTAGAAAATCAGGAGGGAGTGAATAAAAAAATTAATTTTTCAAGTGGAAGTTTGTCGTCCAAAATTTTTTTTGGTATCCATGTTTTTGACAACAGTTCCCAGGGTCCCTTGTATATCCAGTTAGCTTAATGGATCAATGTATAATATTACCAAAATGTACCTAAATGTAGCGCAGTAAAACCTTTCACTGCTTTGTATTTATTAAAGTACGAAGTATTTAAAATAATGATTAACGAAGCAAAGTAGTTAGTTTTTGTGACCGAGCAACTATGCGGGCTTTATTCTTATTGATTCATTCGTCTGTTTAAATATTAAATGGCATCATGGCATGTACAAAGCAAGAGCAAAGGTTATATGCATGAAATTTTGAATACGAATGAGTCAAATATCTAAACATGAAGCTAATACATTTAATGATAAAATCAAAATCCTATAACAATGCTACTACTCATTATCAGACGTGAATAAACAACTAACAAAATTATATGTTTGTAAATGATAATCGTCCAGGTTAATAAAGTCCTGAGAAGGACTGTTTTTGTTGTTGTTGACTGACGTTTCGACAACCTTAGCGGTAGTCATCTTCAGAGTCAAATGAGGAGTAAGCGTCAGGTTAGCCGTATTTGTTATCTGGTTCTTACGTCATTGTATTGTGTGTACAGGAAATGTGTATTGTCATTGTGAGTTAGTGTGAAGTGAAATATTTTATTTCTAGTTGTGATGTGTGATTTAGGTGTGATGTTTTTAGTTGTAATGTGTGGGTGTCAATTGTGTATTGTCATTGTGAATTAGTGTGAAGTGTAATGTTTTTAGTTGATCGTTTGTTTGTATTGTGAATAAGTCGTTTGTAAGGTGCCGGTAATTGCTGTGATCTGTTCAGGGGGGTTTGTTCCAAGTTGGTATACCAACTTTCTAATGTAAGCCGTTGTCTATAGTCAGTACTCTAAGTGATGCATTTTGCCGAGTCCCAGTCAATGTTGTGCTTTGTGAACAGATCACAGCAATTACCGGCAACCTTACAAACAACTTATTCACAATACAAACAAACGATCAACTAAAAACATTACACTTCACACTAATTCACAATGACAATACACAATTGACACCCACACATTACAACTAAAAACATCACACCTAAATCACACATCACAACTAAAAATAAAATATTTCACTTCACACTAACTCACAATGACAATACACATTTCCTGTACACACAATACAATGACGTAAGAACCAGATAACAATTACGGTTAACCTGACGTTTACTCCTCATTTGACTCTGAAGATGACTACCGCTAAGGTTATCGAAACGTCAGTCAACAACAACAAAAACAGTCCTTCTCAGGACTTTATTAACCTGGACGATCATCATTTACAAACATATAACGATACTCCCGGGTTCAAACCATTTACTTTATAACAAAATTATGTGATAGTGATTGCCTCAGTCCATGTAATAAACTTGTTGCTAGTGTTTGTATATAATTCATTGTGAATATCCCACCTGATTCAGATATCATTCCCTTTGTAAACTGTTTTGTTTACCCATTTAATACAATGTTCCCGTAGCTTGGTTACCAGTTAGCTCATTTTAATGTATAATTTTTATTATATAATGTTTGATTTTGAATTACCTGTATATTTTGTAATCATTTGCATGGGTGAAAGACGAATGTATATGAATGCTCATCTTTGCAAACTAAGTATCTACCTACGTAAATATGTAGCAAATAATACAGAATATTATTGAAATAAATTGAATTTGTACATGACTACCCATGTAATGGCACTGATAAATCAATTAGAAATTCTATTTGCATTTTCCAACTTTGCCATGTTATCAAAGGAACCAAGTGAGACAGCAATTTAGACACAAAATTGACAATGAAATATATTTACTGTACTGGGTTTTCACACACAACTTTGTACCCGGAGTTAACGCCAGAGTTGGCGTATTGTTTTGTATAAAAAGACCAATTTTACTTATAAACTTAACACATTAGTCGATTTTAAACTCATTTGAAATCCTCATGAATTGATAATTGTTCGGCGAAACAAGGGAGGCCATCTCCAACTCAGAAGTTTATCTTTTTTATGCAAAATTGTGTGAACTTTTATAAACTTGTACAGTTGTGTAGTACTTTCTAAGTCGTGTTTTATATACAGGTTGCTATCCCTACTACGATGAAGATCCTTTCATCATTAAAGAATGTCCACACGTTTATGTCATTGGAAATCAGCCTGAATACCAGCATGGTGTTGTGACAGGTAAGTTATTTCTTTCAGAGCCCTCTATTTGTAAGAGTTGGGACATGTAATGTTCTCTGGTTTGCAAACGTTGATTGGACAATATCTGTCACATGATCAATTTCCGCCATTTTCGTTCCTAATTGTGAAATTCGAACTAGTTTTTGTATGGCGATTATTACAAGTTTGTATTTGGAGAAAATATTTTCTTATTTTCTGGAGATATGGCTACAATAATTGATTATTTGATAGCTAAAACATGTAACTACATATTGCCCGAATCATATAATCGTGAAAGATGAAAGAAATGGCTTTACGATAGATTGGATTGCGCGTAGTGACCATTGTGTCAAATGCTCTTGACCTAAAGTTTCATTTACGAAGAAATTCTTGATTCATAAACTCAAAACCAAAATCATAGCCAAAAATACCCCCAAACAAAATACTGACAATGACCTCCATAAAATTTTCATTAGAATACCATATCTAGGAAAACAGGGCGAACGTTTGGTTTTCAATATTCGTAAAATTCGCCGTAGCTTAAAAATTCCCATCAAACCTATAGTCATATATCAAACAAAAAGACATCAATTTTCTGTCTCAAAAAGGACAAAATTCCGGAACTCTCTAAAGCCAACGTTATATATGAGTTTAAATGTCCTGGATGTGGTCAAACGTACATAGGCAAAGCGAAACGAAACGTACACACAAGACTAACCCAACATGCTACTATTTACAGCAATTCTAGTGCTATCTCTTGTATATTTGTTATTGTCTCAGATCACAACATGCAATTATTTGAGAAAATCATTGACATTTTAAGGAATTGGATAATCGAGATCATATTTTTTCTGACTTTCCATTATACATGAGTATGAATGACCACACCAACCAATCCGACCAGGAAACACGATTGAATACCATATACATACCTTGTTTGATTTTAAGTTAAGCTACTAGACGTTACCTATGCTAAAACGGCCGGTGGTCTTCAAAGATTTCATATTGCTCGGGCCTCCTGCACATTGGAAATATTATTCTTTTTATCTACTCTGTGCCCACTGGAAAGTTTGTAAACTGCGCACCCGAGATCAAATCTGAGTTTCGTTTTTGCTATTTTTTGCTCGCCTGAAAAGCGCATTTCGCACTATATTTTCGTAAAATAAACATACTTTTTCAAGTTCGCGCGTATACGCCGAGATCTTGGATGCCCAATACCAAATTTCCGGTCTGTTGTGTATCATTAATTCTTTTTACGACTAAATCTCAAACAAGTCTATCTTTTTTATTTATTCCATTTTCTATGATTACACAGCAATCAGGCAAAGAAGTGTGGTACCCTCCCAAACATGAGGAGCCTCATAAGCCCATGAATGGTTGATCCATTAGCCGTGTTTAATTATTCCTTGTTTGCTGATCTCTTTGCCTGAGGCTTTGGCATGAGTGCTTTTTTGTTAACAAAGGCTCTTTTCTTAACAGTAATTTTCCAATGGATGGAACATTTCTTTCGTATGCGTGCGTTAGTGAATGATGGCAATAAAGAATTAAAACAGTTATTTGCCTCGTATATCTGCAGGACCAACGTATTTCATACACCGCATTTTAAGATTGTGGAATGACGTTCAAGGGGCTTCGTGGTGCTTAAATACAGCCAGAACCCGCAGATTATGAAGAAAGAATTTTGATGGAATTGTGATTAAAAAGCCTTTATCAAACAAATGAAAAATGCAGACAAAACATTGGAATGACAACAGTTTTCGTTAACACACAAAAAAACACCTTGTCTTCGACAGGTTAAACTGGTAGAACCTTAGATAGAATTTTTATCAAATGTAAGCAGTAAATACAATCACAACCACCTAGCTTTTGACAAAAAATAGTTGATTCGTACACCTCACATTTTATTTTGCATTAAATAGATGGGAGTTTATTCAATCCTATGACAAATTTGTTAAGAAAAAGCATCATTTGTCAAACTTAAACTTGTAATGATGTATTATTTAGAAAAAATTAAGATTGCTGTGTACGAGGCATACAATGCTAAGCAACAACGTGTTTCTCATTAAAGCTTTTATGATAATTACAGTTAAACATTTGTGTTGTGTAAAAACGCTTCAACTCATAGTGCTCAAAACTAATCTAATAATCCTTAAAGTGCTTATGAAGTGAAATTTTCATACCTTTACTGGCTTAATGAAATGTTTAGATAATTACAACCATTTTGATATATTCATGACCATGATACGTTGAGTGGAAGTTGCCAAGTTTTAACTCCAAAGGTTGCCCTTCCATGCGATCTTTTTTGGCCGCCATGTTTGCGATCAATGAAAAGTAATGGTACCAATACAATATGCTAATACTGTATATCTATGTATATAATTAGGTGCTGCCTTTCTTGTTGCTGGGGGCAATGTATTTGTAGGGAAGGATGAAAACCAGTAATATATTACATTTGGTCCAACTAAATCAACCTACATATGTATAATGTTCTTGTATATATATATATTGTATTAACATGTCACTATTGCACATTATGGTGATTCAATATTGGTAGATGTAGTTTTTAATGGTGTCAGATAGAATATCTACAGGCCTAGTGTCAATTGCCTTGGTGAACATATTGAACACTGTCCTCGAATTCATGACAAATCATTGACACATAAAGATATACATGCCAACACACATGATTTATGTTATCTTAGTACACAGTTCATTGTTATGTAATCAATGAAAATTTAGTCAGATTTTGGTTTGCTAAGTTTATTGTATTTCCCATCATCAAGTAATGCATGCATGGTCAGTGCATGTTGTACTTATATATTGTCCAGATACAATATAATGCTAACACAAGTATATTAAGTGGGCTAAAACTGTTGCTTTACTTTTATTCAGGTCATTTATTTAAACATATACACTCTCAAGAATTAACATTGAGCAATTATCTATCAAGCAATAAGCAAGAATATAACAGAAACAAGAACATGCCAAACAGCAAGAAGAATATATCAAAGAAATAGCAATACATAAAACAATGCATACTTATAAGTTTCTACAAACAAGAAAAATTAGTGCACTACTTGTATCTCTTCTTTGTCTGCAGTTGTGATTGCCTCAGTCAGTTATTCACTCGTATACTTGGCAAAAACACATAATAACAACAACTGTAGTTTCTTTCGATTTTTTTTCTCGAGTAATACGCAATGTGCACGAACTATAGCACGAAATTTCTGAATAAGCAAATAATTCCTCAATATCCACATTATCAGTGCGCTTTTCCCAACTCAAAAGTCGAATCTCTACGCAAGAAACATCTATAGTCAACAAAATCTTAAAAGGCACGTCAATCCTTTCGAAGAAAATTTGCCCACTCTTTCCCCTTCGTGTATATATTTCTCTTGTTATGAAATTCATTTAAGAATCTTTCCTCATACGTTACTCCCACTGGTTCGTTACTGATTTCTGCATTCACTTTGACGTTCTCCACTATTGGATTTGGATTAACATCTTTCATCTTTCATCTAACATCTTTATCTTCTGGCATTTTGGTTTCTTCGTTAGTCAATAAAACATTTTCATCTTTCTTTTGATCGAAAGAAGTCGTTGGTTTTTTGTCTTCACCAAAATCATGGGATTGCGTTTCAACAAACTTTGAATCACGGCGACGGATGAATTTGAGTTCAAGAAGATCATTGAACTTATATCCCTTTATTCCTTCAGGGTATCCCCAAAAAATTGTTTTTCGAGAATTTGGATCCAATTTCTTACGCTTGTTCTCTGGAATGTGTACATAACTCACACAACCAAATACTCGAAGATTAGCTACATTTGGTTTTCCATGTAAACATTCGTACGGAGTCATATCTCTTACTGATGTTGTACGACTTCGATTACGTAAGTACACAGAAGTATTAACAGCCTCCGCCTAAAATTCATTAGGCAAATGCGAATGAGATAGCATAGAACGAGCAATGGTACGGTTCATTCTTTCCGCAATTTCATTTTGAGCAGGATTGTGAGGTACACTTACTTGATGGATTATACCATTCTTCTTTAGGATATCTTTGAACTCCTGTGAGCGATATTCCCCGCCGTTATCGGATCGTAGGATCTTTACAGGTTTGCCAGTGAAGTTGAAAACATGACTATGAAATTCCTCGAATCTTTCTAAAACTTCACTTTTCTTTTTCATGAAATAGATAAACGTCTACCTTGAATAATCATCGATAAATGCGACATAGTAGCGTGATCCACCATAAGAGTTTACAGACATGGGACCACAAACATCAATGTGTACAAGCTCGAATGATCGATCATCACGATAATGCTTATCATTAGGATACGGACACTGATGTTGTTTCCCCATCACACATCCCTCGTAGAACGCGATGTCTTCCTCTATATCAGTTATTCCATTGACTAAATTTTCATTTAATAATTTACGAACATAGTTCATTCCTAAGTTGCCAAATCTTCAGTGTCATAAACGTAATCCTGAATTTGATACATCCTTTGCAATGTTCACATGTTTATATACAATCCTCAATTTGTACAATTTTCCTTGTATATCCCCATCAGCTAAAATCTTTTCATCGCGAGATATTTTACAGATGTTAGCTTCAAATGTAACAGTAGTTCCAATTTTTAGCATAGCATAAACTGATAATAGATTCTTGTCCAATTCTGGTAAGTACAGTACGTTTTGCAATGATATATTCTGAATACGATCGTTAAGTATTGCTTTCATATGATAAGTTGCTTTTCCATATGCTAGGATAGATCTGTTATCACCTAGGCTCACTACCGACTGTCGCATGATTTCCAAATAGTCTGTCTGTGCTTCTCTTTCAAATGACATATGCTGTGTAGCACCAGAGTCTATGATCCAATCTGACCTTCCAAAATTTTCTGATCCACTTGTCATCAATGCTTCCTCATCAAGCATATCATTATCTTATCTTTCAGCACAGCGTGCTTGAGTGTTTCGTTTGTTTGTATCATTCTTAGTCTTTTTATGTGGCAGT